GAATCAACAGACTCGTTTCCTAGGATAATTAGAAGCGAGTAAAATTCAGTCGAGAAGTTTAATCAGTAGTGGTAGCAAGCCCACGTATACAAGTCTTATTGCTACGTAAAGACAATAAATCAAAAAAACGCAAATAAAATAAAGAGGGCTTTGGAAAATCCTCTGGATTATTCCTAGCTGCACGCGGAAAAATGACGATACCAAGACCTAGGAGACTTGGAATGAGACTTCAACGCCAACAGAAGTCATATGTACCATGGAATTCCTGGGGCGTAAGAAGTACTTTCATGAAGCTACTGTAGTTATTCTACTTCGCTTGGCTTGAGAAGGCTATTTCTATCGCCCTATTATTCATTTTGTGAGTGCTTCTCATATTTTCTTCATGAAAATTCACAACAGGCACGGGGCTGCGACGGCAATATTTTACTTGATAGTAAGTTAGTAAATGGATGGAATTAATTCAGACAAAGACGTCAAATTTCAAAGATTCAAGCTTGGATTTTAAATCAGGCGGCTGTAGGTTATCTACCTTACCCTGGTCAGGAAGTTCCGAGACATCGGAATCATTGGGTACTGATTGGGCGTGACCATCATGTTGTCGGTTATAGTCAATTAGCATTTACAGATTACTACACAGGTTATTATAGACAGTCAACAGGGAGTTTCAGGTATACACCAAGGAGAACACGTAGCAAGAGCTCGTATCAGTGATTTCTTCGTTGAAGGTCAAGGGTGCTATTCCTTGATCCTTATTACATTATTACTTCTAATTATGAGCTCTATCTGTTGCTCTACTATGTTTTATCTATATAGGGGTTTCCTCACCTTTGCATCCTGGGAGAGCACATGTGAACATGCTGATATGAGTGAATGAGAAGGAAAGGCAAATGGCACAAAAGCTAATAATGGACTATTGAGGCTATCCTATGAAACTTACTTTAATTATACAGAAATGATTTGATTTTAATTTATTCATGAAACTAAAAGTTCTGCGGCATATTTCATGTTGACTTTGGTGTCTCTCTTTTCAATTGAAGTTGCCTTTTCTCTCACTATGAGGGTAAGTGAGGTGAAATGTCTCCACATTGTTTAACACATGTGCTCCCAAAAGAAATTTCACTCCGCCTATCTTCAGTGTAGGCTCACGGATTCTTCCTTGTGTCGCTCTTTCCTTCTATCTGTATCTCATTTGGGTTCTTGAAGAGATATATCCTTCTCTTTCCCTTAGTCAGAGATGTGCAGCTCGAGTACTCGTTGTCGTTTCTTGGGGTGAGTGAACTCCCAAAGAGAGCTATCGCTTCATATATTGGCAAAGTATTGGTGGGCTGGTTTTCTCTGGCATATAAGAATCTTGTTGAAAGCCACAAGAGTGCTTTACCCCGCATAAGAGCTGTGTGCTTCAAAAGTTTCGTACTTCTCACTCGATCTACACCATATAAGTTGTATAGTGTAGCTCTCCACGGAATACTTGGCTCGGTGGTTCATTTTTTTAAGCATCTCAACTATGAAGAAGCCAACATCAAATAATCCTTCACTTCCACAAGCTCCCCCACGCATATCTTTTTTTCGAACCACATGCCCCGCGATTTGTTTATGAATGGCAAATGTTTTGACAGCCATTGACGAATCAGCTTCTCTCATGTAGCCTGTGAAGATTACGGTTCAAAACCCTCGGATCCTCATCAACCCGGTGAGCTATCATTCAATATCCCTTGTAGAAAAGATGGCAAAGTTCGAAATCTTTCACCGCTCCCTGAACCCGTTCGTTCATCCCCATCACATCGTTTCGGTGAATTTTCATCTGACCTCCTTTTCCCGGACATACTTCAACATGACATCAAAATGTCTCTAACGGTCAGACCTCCCCTCGTTCCTGCACACGAACCACCGAGCGCTCTCAAACACGACCATCCCCATCTATCGGGCGTTTCAGCCCTCCCCAACGTTGCCGCATGATCCGCTACAAGCATCTGCACAACCCAAAGAACCCTGAAGGCCACATTTTAATCCCTGCGAAGAGCGTTGCGCTTGGGGCTTTTTTATGCATATCCAACTCTCAGTTCATCCTTGCGTCGCCAAAAAAGAAGAAAACACGAGGAGGTGGGAAAGATAAGACTTGCAGGAAACCTTATACAATAGCGCGGGTGCACGATCAGGTCAATTATCACACTTTATATTCTGGAACTGTTTGGTCTGTTGGAACAAGTGCTTGAGCCGAAGATGCAAGTACAGGCTTCGTTGACGTGGGAGGCGCTTCGCTCAAAAGGTTATGAAACAATGACAGCGCGCTAACTATGTGGGGTTGATGGCGGGTAACAACACAACAATTTCTTTCTGAAGAACAATGTTGATGGTGATCTCTCATATGTTTTTAGATTTGTTGTCTAGATTTCAGCAGATCAGGTTGATCTTTCGATCGTTTGTTTACCATATCATGGATGGGCAAATAAGTTTTGCATTTCTTCGTATCATATTCCAGTTTGAGGTGCGAAGCCTTATGCACTACAAATGATGTGATGGAAATCATCAAATCATTAACACATAAGATGCGCAGTCATATCACTGTCAATCCTCTTAGGCGATCTTAGAAGTAATAAGAATATACCAGGTAATCATGATAAGCATACAATGATCAACAACATGATGCACACATGGGACAATTTATGTAATTACGCGTCATAAAATAATTATTTGTCAACGTTCATCCTTGGTTCTAGAAAACAGTTTTATCAAATAATGTCATGTAGACTATTAGCCTACCCAATTCACGGATACGGAGCCGTAGAAGTAGAAGAGTCGACGCATTTCGAAACCCGTAACAACCGTAGCAACTAACTCGTTCCCAACAACGGGCACCTATCCGACGCGGCTCAACCATCAGCATCAGGTCCAAGATGAAATGAATTTTGGCATTTCAGACACGCGCCGTGGTGCCGTGACCCGGATCACCAGAACATTTAAATATCCATGTCAAAGTGAAAAACTCATCCCATCGGGGATCAATGAACCCATGGATAGGCTGCCTTTCTTCAATGCCCCCCTTCAACTTTCTGACACAACCATACCCCGAAACCTGCTACAAGATCTTCAAAACGTTTGAGAACCAGATTGACAGCGGAACGTTATGCTGATCTCCTCAATGGATCGGACGAGTCAACGTCAAAGAAGATAGTTACGGGATGACATTTATCGGCTTCTTACTCGCTTCGCTTTGGCCTTTTCACTCAAGGTCCTGGCATGCTGGCATTTAATGCAAGGAAAACCCGCAGTTAGCAAGCTTAATCTCAGCCCGACTCAAAAGTGCTACAGTATATAGATGTCGGATGGGTGATAACTTTGTTGGTCACTTGTGCACCTCATATAAACAAAATCCCACGCAAACGAAAGTTTCCTCCAGCCTTGGAAGTAACCTCTCGTGTTCGTCTTGTTTCTGACCAAAACAAATTTTAGGACACTTAATAGGTCTTGTTCAGATTAAAAGCTAATTTTGCTCGTGATTAGCTTCTACTTCAACAATCCTCTTTTTCGCCAAGTCACACACATGTAGATCTAGGGGTCAGAAACGCCTAGAACCTTGGATTTGGAAGCTTCCAAACTGCCTATCCACTTCTTCGAAGGAGTTCTTGGAAAGAGCCACACCTTGATCCCTTCTTTCACATGATAGGCTTCAGGAAGATCCCGCCGTACATTGGGCGCTGACGAGCCCCTAGAAGCTAAGCGAGGAGACAAAGGGCACTCCTTGAAGCCACGAAATTGGGATCGCCTAGCAATTTACACCCAGATTTCATCTGATCCTTACCAGGATAGCCAATTCAAATGCCACTCTCAAGCAAATCCTCGAAATACGGGTCACTTCCAGCCTAGGTATTCTAACAATGCAAGGTACCCGAAAACAGCGATCATAATAGTCAGAAGGGGGTTATAACATACGGTATATATCATAATAAAGCAGTATCGGAAAAAACATAAGCTTCCACCTCTAACATCCCCTATATCATCTCAAATATCACTGAATACAACCAGCTATAAGGCTGCATGAATGCGCTTGGTTGTGAAAACTCGAGATGATGTCTACTAGGGTATGCTTGGAACCCAATTATCGGGGAACGCTGGTTGGAAGAGTGTTGGCATCAAGAAAAGGATCAGGGTAGTCAACACATGGAGCTTCAGATCGTTGTCATCTGATTCTTTTTTAGGTACATTCGCGCATGCCCGTGTTTCTGTTCCCATCCTGGATAAAAATACTCCGACTCTGATAAGTTTATATTTATATCTCAGAAAATCGTGACTATATCACGTGGACAGCTTCTATTCTTGAATAGTGCCATCTTCCAATCAGGTAGTCTACTCAGTTATTGAAAGTGCAGACCCAGTGATATGCTCAAGGATCAAGGGCAGATGCAGATCGCGATAAGGATAGATGAAGTGCAATATATTTATGATTACCATGTTGTATAGAACCGCAATTATTTACCAGGTCTCGCGATCGAGTTCTCCCATCTCGAGACTCGGGCCTCGCTGACATCACCTGGTCAGAAGTTTGTTGGCAGGAGAATGAGCCATCGGGGCCTTGTTGGATTAAAGTTGGTCAAGTAATTAAGCCGACAACCCTTTCTATCCTATGAATATTCCCATCCTGTAATTTAGCGTCCCCAAGCAGATGCTTGCACGCTCCTTCAAGTTGCGTCGTCACAAAGCCACCCAATTCTCTAATTCACAAGCCAGAGAATGAAGAGCGCGGGATAGAGGCTAAATAACAGTTGAGATCCCTTCCTACATCACCTCGATCCCACCCTGTTGATTAGGAAGAAAAAGACTTCTTCTCCCGTACAACCGAGTACTCAAAATCGGTTGATGTGACTGAGGAAGAACGCTGGTTGGTCGGTATCGATTGACGGAGACGCAGGCGAGTAATGGAGTTCATGTGCATGCAATGTAGATATATGTGTGTTTCCGAAACTTGCAACTCACATCAGCGATAAGGACCGCGAAGCTGATAGCCGCCATAGTCTCAAAATGTTGCGCTAGGAAAAGGTCGTCCAAACAAGTCAAGTCATATGATTTTGATGTAGATGATTTTTGATTGTTTAATCGAGGTTATTAATTTTTACATTTGATACAGCTTTTCCTGTCAAATCACTCTTCGATGCAGAAGAGTCGTACGCGCAGACACATAACCCCCACCCTATCCTATTCTCCACACCCCACATGAAACGAATGTTGTGGCATCCCCCCTAAATCATGATCCCGTCATTCAGGCATCTTGTGATTCTATGCCATCGTATCAAGATAGATCATGTCCCCTGGCCCCCCATCCAAGCCAATTCATCTCGGGCTCAAAATAGCCACGAGGAATTCAAAGAGTCCACCATGAAACGCCGATGCAAATGCCATCCAGGGGTTTTATAAATTATCCACCAAACGCCCACCCAATGATTGTAACGAGAACGAGAGGAAATTAATCCTGGAACGTAGAAATCGAAAAAGGAAATAGTGAGTATATAGAAGTGACCAGTCTTGCCACAAGGAACGCAATATGTAAACCCGAAGAGACGGTTGTCTTTTTTACATTAGAAGGTTAGGATGTCGGTCCAGGTCCTTAACTCTGCACTCTTAAACTATCGGAACACCGCCTTCGAAGCTGTGGCAGCCACGTTCGTGTCGTTTCATGTTACTTCGAACACTGAAGGCCTTTCCGCATCCTTGGTGGGGGCACTTAAATGGCTTCTCTCCGGTGTGCGAGTGAGAGTGGATTCTAAGACTGGATGGGCGAGAGAAAGCCTTGTTGCAAGTCTGACAAATGTATCGATCCTGAGATTGGGGGAAGGATGCAACGGAGGATGGCGAGATGTAGTGATGGTGTTGCCATGGATTGTTTCCTGAAGATGGAGTGAGCGTCACAGACACCGGCATCAAAGATGGTGGGAATTGCTATGAGATGTTAGTTGAGGTTCCCAATAAATGATTGGCAACGGTACATACCTGAGGAAGGGGCCGTTGGTAATAGAGACCAGAGATCTGTGGTTGCTGTGCTGCAGATTGCATAGGGCTCGAGTAGTAAGAGCTCATTGACTGTTGACTAGGTGACATGCTGTATTGAGAGTTGCTGTACGCTGGCTGAGAATAGCCCATCGATTGACCAGGCATCGAAACCCTTCGTTGATGAGACATAGTTGGCATTTGCTGCCTCTGGGGGTGAGGTGGTTCAACATTGTTGATTGCCGATACTGGAGGGCTGAAATAATAGCCTGGAGCAGAAGCAACAGAATAACTAGAGTTCGACGCGGCACCTGGAGATTGACGACCGTCAAATGTTTCTGGTTGCATTGGTGGAGTTGGTGGAAGCACATTGCGAGAACTCATAGATGGGGACGGTCCATACTGTTGCTGTTGTGGTGGTGGTTGCTGCTGATTTGCGGAACCTGGTCGGTAGTCGCTCTTGACAGATGGAGGTCCTGAGAATGTGAGCTTGATGTTTTTCAGCAATCATGTTGGTTTCCTTTCTTACCTGAAGGTTGTGGAGTTGGTTGCTGTGCTTGCTCCTGAGGACTAGAACCATCAGCCAAGCCAAGAAGGCTTGAGATAGAAGGCAAAGAGCATTTTGAAGTCTCGTCAACCGGTGGCGATGGAGGAGGTTGTGGTGCTGTAACGTAGTTGTATGTCTGGTTCTGCGACATTGGCTGAGCCATGTATTGGTTTGCTACTAATGAAGAAGACATGTTTTGTTGAGGACGATTAGGATATGGTTGGAACTGTTGTTGTTCTGCTTGATGTCTACCCGCGTGCACAAGACTGGAGAGGTTCATGACCCGGAGGCAAGGTCGATAGCGGTGAGTAGTTGACTGGAGAGTCCGAGTCGATTGATTGATGTGGATAGATGATTTTATGGAGATCTTGAGGTGGTGGTGCTGAGTGACAGTGATATGATTAAGATATTAAGTTTGTTGTGTCGATATGGTTCTATAGTCTCTTCCCGGTTGTAGTTGTTGGATACGCCTGCGAATGGATGGCTTCAAGAGGTGCGCGAGGGATTGGTGATATTTATCAGATCTCCCGAATGCAGTGGGTGGGCGATCTAGTGTAAATCCACCATTCATATCCCAGCAGGTACCAAGAGACAATGCCCTCACAAATTGGGGTGGGCCTGTCCCATGTGTGACTTTTCTGATGCCCCAAGGTGGGTGCAATGAGACTCCAAGAGCAGGGTACTTCGGAGCATCAACGGGCTTGAATCTGCCTGATACTGACTAGACTTCGCCGCGCTGCACCATGATTCGATTCATTTTGCAGTTGAGTTTGGGTGGAGTGCAGCGGGGCTACGTCTAGGATGCCTAGGGCCAAGAGGACTCAGGGGGTGTTGGTGTCCTAGTCCGCGGGGGGTTGAACTTTGAAGCCTGCCAATCTGCCTCCTGGATGGACCGTTGAAGGGTCTCCGTTGTGGAGGGCGACCAGAGATAGATCAGACCCCAAGACGGAGTGGGAATGCTTGTTCAATGCAGAAGAGCTTCGGAGCATAAGCCGTTCAAGGCGTGAGTTTTCTCAGGTTTGGCAGGCCTTCCTTGCCTGTCACCGCAAGTGGCCCTCGAGATGTTTGGACCAGGATCCTGACAGCCAGCCTGGGGGGTTACATGAGACGAGGGTGACGGAAGCTCTGATGCTGATGCGCACCATGGTCCACGGTGGAGGGGGATCTGCCTGCAAACCTGTAGCTTCTGGTGCTTGGTCCCGGCCGGCAAATGTGGTGATTCTTCAACGATTTATGCTTTCCTGGCAACTCGAAAGGAGCGGTCATTTCATTCTTCATTCTACTTCGTACTTCCTCCCCCTTAGCTCTAGTCGTTGCTGGGTAGGCACGTTGGAGCTCGCAAAGCTGTTTACATGTAGTAGGCGACTCGCCAAACGCCATGCCACACGGCACCGTTGCTGTTTTTTCCTTTCTTTTTGTTCGTCACCAGGCTTCTCGCTTGCCACCGCTTGGTGGAGCGGCGTTGAGATATGTATGGGGAAATGGACACTTGTCTCGTTGCATCTGGCCGCGGGCTCGGTAATTTGGTATCAACAGTCAAAGTATGGCTCGAGGCGATAGACTAGCGAGATGGTACTCGACGACGGGTTTGGAGGGAAGAAGCATCGTCACAGATGAGATGAAGAGCCCTTCGTCTCTCTTTCCCCGTTCCATCAACCCCCAGGATCGCCGGATGGGCGTGGATGGCTCGCTTGGACGGTCAAAGGCCCGTGATAATTCCAAGGTTGGGACGATAAGAGGCAGGGAGGGATTCCTTGGTGGTGGTGCGCAAATGCAAAGTCTCGTCAGAAGTCCAAGTGAAAAGCTAGTCCAGAAATTGACGCAGCTGCGTGCAGGTGATGCTTGGTTGAGGTTTAAGTGATGCAGCACTAATTACTGTGTACCACTTCCTGCCAAAACCTTTGCTGGAGTTCAAGGCTCGTAATTCATAGAAAGGCGAGAAGCTCCTACGAACTCTACGATGCTTGCCGTATCACGATACTTGCCACCTAGGAATTTACTACTTACTACAGTATTTAGCACTGTTCCCGCCCGTCGAGCCTACTGGTATGTTAGATCTGGTATTCTTGTCGAGCGGCCAGTCTCAAAGGTACTGTAAGTGTAAGGCAAGCCCAGCCGTGTGAGGCGTCGCGGTCCTGTAGTTCGAGGCCATCTTGCGGTTGTGACATGCGATTTGCACCTCGTTCTGGGCAATCGGTCCATTTTGTCGACATTAGTATGGCTTCTTGCATTGCTTCTGTCAACGCTGGGCGGGCCGTCGCAAAGCCACGCTCTACTACCGTTGGATCGGTGCCGATCCAACGGTGTGCGGGATACTGCTTTAGGGGAAAACTGTTCAGTAGACAGCCCCTCAGCCGCTTGCAGGAGACACGCCTGGGCGCCCCCACGAAGGGTGAAGTGTCGTCGCTAAGAGTGGCTGATAGTTCATCTCTCAAGTTCAACCGATGATTAGAACTCGAAGCTCTTGTCTCGTCAACCAATTCTTTCTCGGGGCCCCTTAAAAGAGAGGACAGTTTGACCGAAAACTATGTATCGCTCTTCCCAGCTCTCTCGTCTCAGAACTCTACCTTTTCAAAATTCACGTGGTTTTGTCTTCGCATTTGGGGGCGTATTCGAAGTAACACGGAGTACTGTACGAAGTACAAGTGCACCAACTTGGACTTGCTCCGGCAGCGCCTGCCGGGACACCACTTACTGCATAGGAGTCTGAGCGACGCTCTCTTTTGTACTCTGTGTCCGGATCGGCCAAGAATCCTCCCTGCCTCTACTCCCCAGCTGTTGTGCTTTTGTTTTGATTCTTTCGTCCCACTCGCTCTGCACACGAGCGTTCGGCTCCTGATCCTTGAGCTCATCCATGGTCAGCATTGCATCGCATCTGGCAAGTCTTGTCGGCTCTGGAGTACCCTTGTGCGTTCATCTCTCTTTTTTTGGCTCCCGGTTTTCTCCCACACTGACTTGAATTGCCTTTTTTATTTTCATGAGCATATATCTTCGCCTCCTCCTCATTCCTCTTCACTCGCTCTGCATACGATCGCACTCTGCCTCTTCACTCTTGGCCAAATGTTGTTGTCGGCGGCTCATATTCCATGTTCCATGTCCCTGACCCCCATGTGCCACCGTACGATGAGCTAAAAGCGCCATGCTGATCCTGGGAGCTCGGGTAATGCAGATCAGTGTCTGACAGGTGCAAAGGAAGAAGAAGGCGGGGACCCAGGCTCACCGTGAGGGTCGTGACTGGTAGCCACTCAACTGGCGTTGTCCACCATCGGGTGGAAGTTTGTTGGTGAAGCCACGAGGCGGGCACGCAGTCTCTGTGGCGCTCGGGATGGTACTGAGGGTACGAAGGAATTCCTTTTTTGGCCTGGGGCCTGAGGTTGTCTCGTTGTGGACGGCTGAGTCGGCGTCCGACTATGACGTCCTGAGAGCCTGAGGTTGAGAGGTGCCGTACATCTACTACTAGCTACCCACGCTGGCCACGCTACCCTCAAGATACCTCTCCTCTAGGTCGAGTACAGTATGCGCACTATCTATGAGTCCAACGACAACGAGCAGTCGGTTCATCGCACGCTCGCCACGCCCGTCACTGCATGATCAGAAATCAAGCACCGGTTGCTATTTTAGCACTCTTCACGTCTCGACTCTCGCTGCCAGTACCTCGAGGCTTGTACGCCGCGGCAGATGATGCCGTCTCAGCGTGTCGTGTCAGAACTTGCGGTGGCTGGAGTCGACGTTGAAACTCGAAAAATGCAGCCCGCGCTGCCCGCAGCCTTCCCATAGCCGCCGTGTCCTGAGTGCGGAGCATACTTCGTCTACGGATACTTCGTACCATCGTCCATGGATTCTCTCCAATGTCCACGGCCTTGGGATTCGCTTCCTTTTTGAGCTACCAGTACAATATTGTATGTAGCCTTGGGCCTATCACTTCGTACTTCAATGGACTCGAAGATTTACAAAGATACGAATACGGAATACATGGCTGGGTATTGCCTGCGGCCGAGAGATCATCTCCCGCATGGCGCTGAGAGGCGTTCATCTGAAATGGAAAATGGAACGAATTCATGGATCCATGGAAGCCCTTGACAGGTGAAAGTTTCCCCTCAAAGCCGTTACCCGAAAGGGTTGACCCCCTCGCTTGCAGACTCGCCTAGTCCGCATTGGTCGTTGGTGTGAACGCCAGCTGAACTACCAGAATATTGGATTACCGTTCTTCACTCCAAATGCTATCAACCGATCACCAATCGCATTCCGAGGGCCTTTTTCACGCCGCCATCCTTATTTTTTTTACTGCAAACCTCCAGCTTCAGGACAAGATGACCGCCATCAAAATCACAATGTCGTGCCCAGAAACCGCTCTGCTGCGCCGTGTTGATCTCTGACCGCTTGTCCCATCGAGCCCCGCGACTTGCACCGTGGGCGAACGACCCCTCTATCATTGACTTCATCGCTGCCTCAGTACCGGCGTAGGCTACTAGCAGTTCAATTTGGGTGCAGTGATGAGTGCAGTGGGCAGCAGCAGCCCACGGTAAGGACTTCGGGTACGGCGTTGACAGGGTCTCGAGGAATAAAAGTCAAGGTTGATCTCGCCGCAATGCAAAGTGTAAGTGCACTGCAGGAGTTTCCGTAGACTGATGAGGATCACTGGTGGTGGATATTCAGCGGACAAGGGCGATCAATATCGTCCCAGGGGCGCTCTGCGGCCAGAACAAGCCAGTTGCAGATGAATGGCGGAGAATATTCAATATGGCCTGGCGGCTGGTGGAGTTTCAGTGGTGGAATTCGAAATGGAGTCAAGTCGGAAATGATCTCTACGGCTACGGCTAAGCTTTGAGCTCTCAGCTCTCTTTAGACTCTTCTTCGGTACTTTCGTACTCTTGTTTTCTTACTATTTTCCCATAAGAATCATAATTTCGACACGCACGCAAAACGCCCAACAAACCACGCTCATTTCCGGCCTTCTGTGGCCCAAAAGAAACAGCCCGTGCGGTCGCCCGAGGTTCAAGTTGAAATGTGGCAAGGGCCCCCGTGATAATCGCTGAGATCTGTAGATCATTGTCCAGGGCCTCTGGGTAAAACTATGAACTTTCCGAATTTCCGACTCGGGCCAACTTGGGCCTGTCATTTTCCTCCTTTTCAACTGGTCAACAATTCAAATAGCGATAAACCCACCTCCTCATAGGTGATTACACGTCATCATAATCAACAATTACCCATCGATCATTGGAGCCAAATTTCTCAATTACAAGGGTATCGTCCTAACCCCCCGCAAGGAGGAAGCTTGGTGTCCAGCGAGAAGAGGAGATCACCTTCGATCATCAATGTGGTTCTGATTCTAACCCTAAGCAGTCACTCTTATTACAATCAAGCCAGTCCGGTGGTTGATACTTCGTACAAATGCCAACATCTAATCCAAAGCGATATTCAGGAAATGAATCGCTGCCTTGACTTGACAAGAATTTGCTCCCATGATGACAAGTCACTGCAAGTTTCATCCCCTTGCTGCAGGCATCCGCAAATGGAAGTTGAGTCCGCGACAACCTCCGAAAAGCATTCTTTCCTGATGGAAGCATTCCTACCATTTATTCAATATGATCCGCTACTATACAGCCTTGCTTAAATCTCGATGGTCACACGACATGTAATCATTGACTCCTTTTCTGAATTTGATTGAGTGACATGTGCGAAGAGCCATTACTCTAGGTGCATACGAAGTATATTGAACCATGATGTTCGCTAGGATCAGAAGAGGCAAGGACTCGAGTAAGGTACCAAGTATGGCGTGTCTATTACCAGAGCGACCTTTTATCTTTCACCCCATGACGAGCTTCATTGACAAATTTTATAAACATACCGAAACATGTTTGGTTTGCTTGAAACAGAGGAAAGAACAAAGTCGAAAGAGTTCTTCGTCCAACATTGTCCGATCGCCCTTCCATGAGCCCACATCGAAGTAGATACTTTATAAAGAGGGCGGACAACTCGGAGGTGCACCCTGCAACTTAATAGTACGTCTCGGCCCCGTCTTTTAGCGAAGTCAGCGAATCAGAGCCTCAACTCTACGCATTATAGACTTTTCTCACATATGATCTGCGTAACATGCGGCTTTAACTTTTCATCCTCTTTACGATTACAGTTCTTACCAAATTTTTGAAAACATTCCCCTGTGAGGTTCAACGGACAAAAGGGGTCGCTTTGATGAATTTCTCGTTCAAGTGGGCCTTACAATCTTTATAAGTTCCAGGTTTGGCGATCCATGCAGGTTTTCGACATTTTTAACCTAAAAGCCCCCAACAGATGACCCACATCCATCAGCGTCTTCTCCACACCATTCCGAGTTTCGTTGCAACGTTGTCCTAACCGAGGATTTCCAGCCTGGCCGAACAGCACCATCTGGTTTTAACCCAGCCAACTCAAGGTTTGAAAACATGGCACAAGCCGCGGTGTGCGCAGGCAACCAAAATTGAGGGATGGGGGTCTGCGAGGTTCTCCCGTTCGGAGATTTCACCATTTTCCGGATCTTCAAAGAGTGACAACAAGCTCGCCAGATTGAATCGGGTGATCTAAACATCGAGTCAGTCAGTCCCTGGGAAAAGTTAAGCCACATGGAGTCTGTCGATCATGTTTCCTGGAGAGAGTTCCATGCTCAAACACTCCGGAGTATTGCCCGTACTTTTTTGGGTTCGGCAGTAGAGCTACGGGAGAATACAGTAGAACATCTGCAATTGACGGTGAGAACGTGGATTCTCAGTATCCAAAATCCAGGGATTCTCAGGATCGAAATAAGATATACCTACGATCACCTCATTAAGTATCGATCTACAAATTCCAGCAAATATATGCTAGTTGCCACCTACCGCTAACCCTTTCGGGCCACCGCAAAGTCATATACCGGTATTAACCTCTCGCAACTTTTACGATTTCACCATGTACTTGATAACTAACGGCGTCCTAATTTTCTGTCTGCTATCAAGGGAGATGTGAGATGTGCGTTTATGCTTCAGAGAGAACACAGACTCGTTTTGTACAGCAGCCGGGAGGACTCTGTCGAATTCTGTTTGAGGATATATTGCTCTTACTCGAGTACTCCGTACATTTCCACGTTCTTCTGGCATCGAACATGTAGTGGCGGTGCACAGAAGGCTTTTGTAACCGCAAAACGTACGGGGGGTTGATCTTCCGCAGGAGAAATGTAACCTTGCCCAATCTGGGTGAGGAACACAAAATACCGTGTAAGACGAGAGAAACACTTGATATGATAACCAGTCTTTCAGCAATCTAGAGCTCACCTTCGAGATGATGTTTAGCGAGAATAATTGTTGAAGCTCATTGATAAGTTAAGGCCGTACCTGGTATTTTTCCCACTTCAAGAAACCGGAGGTAAACATAAACACTTCCACCCACCGGGTTCACTAACGGGAAAAGCCCAAACGAATCCTGCATATGTGATCTCCGCATATCGCTAATGTCCTCGTCCACCCTGGCGGTGTATCATCTTCGTGGACGCTTTCTGAAACCCACGCAGATTTTCGAAACTTCAATAGCCTCACAAGTTTTTTCTGTAGACCACCAGACCACCAACCCCAAACCTCTCCACCAAAAATAGCCGCATATAACGACAAATGTGCGTATGAAGTCATCCCGCTGTTCGGATGTTTACCGGTCTTTCAAGTGAGTTGGTCTAATAATGCTGGGTTGTCTCGGGACGATCTTGTTACTGCCCTTGGTCCAGTACTTCTGGAAACCGCAGCCCGGTGCCAATGCAGCGAAACCCGTGTTGTCAAGAGAGGCATGACTCTGGGTAACGAGTCTTCCAACTGTGGTTCTCATAGATTCACAGATACAATCCTGGTGGCGCAATCCATAAGGCGAAACACGCTTTGGTCGACTACACACCTGCCATACGATTTTTGACATGCATGGCCTGAGAGATCCTAGAGGGACGTCAAATTTCCTTCGGCTATCGAAACACTTTCGATTCTTACCCGTATTTCGGTCTCGTTATCTGCCAGATGTGACACTTTTGGCCGTGTAGTTTGGTTCGTTAAATGGGTTCCTTTTCGTGGGCTTCAGATATCTCTTCCTGTGGTTTTGATCTTCACAGTAACTAGATCTTGACATGGAAGTTAGGAAACATTGAGAAAGTTAAAGCTAGAGCATGAATGATTGACCGATTGAATTTCCGTGGCAGTTGATATGATGTTTTGGGGCATGAAAAGATGGGTTGGGATTGTGCCAGGGTTGGTAAGTCAAAGATGTGGTGTTGGGGAGCATAAGGGACACATGGGCTGTGCTGAGGTAAATTGTGATAATGCGAGGATATAGACTTAAATAGAAGTAATGGGGAACATGGTGGCCATGAGTATATACTCTTTATTGAAAAGTATGGGAGCGATGAAATAGAGAAACATTGCCAAGTCTATAGGCAGTACAGTACATAGAGATGTATGCTTCAGGTGGAAACGTCTTTGAAGTTACAGTTAAATTTCGATGTATTATTGCCGCTCTTCCGAGTTATAGTTTCCGGTATATTGCACGTCTGTCTTGTCTTTGTAAAGATACCTTGCAATTAACTTTGGAACCTTTGGGACCGGAGAAACGCTCCGTTCATACGGCAAAAGAGATCTATTGATTGACAATTTCAACACTCGGGTTAGCAGTTTAGACAAGTTGTATTCTAGTTTATTTGATTTGTCACTTTTGGTTGGGTAGACCAGGTCTTTTCTACACAGCCAATTGTTAGAGACTACTGGCGTGTTACTGAATTCTTCGTATTCCAGATGTGTCATTTTTAATAGTAGCACCTTCTACGGTGGTGCTAATTGATGCTTCGTATTTGAGTTGCAAAACTCAAAGTGGCAAATCACTTCAGTCTTGTGGACTAGTGAGTCGTTCAGATCATCACGGGTGATCATCAAAGCCATGAATACGATTGCCGTTGAACTTTAACCTTGTTAATGTTCAGTTGAACCGATCGTCGTCTTCGGGATATGATACGCATTATTGATAATACATATGCTAAGGGACCCTTTTTACAAACATACAGTTCAGTTTTCCATATATGAGTACGGCGGACAGAATTGGTTGCCGGGCCCATCCTCGAATCTCTCAGGGCGTGAAACCGAGTTTTACTCATCCCAAAGGACTGCACTCAACCCATTGTCATTTTCCGGCGTACCCGTGCTCCCAATTCTCATGCTTGCCACTTGAGCACCCAAAAGTCCAGTTGTGACATCACGCTTGACAACAACTACATTCGCCGTCGTCTGATCTCCAATAGCCACCAAATCCCCAGCCTTATTGATGGAGAATGTTCTCGGATAAGTACCTCCACTTGAGGTGATTTGCTGAAACTTCATGAGCCCTGCATCATCCAGTGAGAACGAGGCAATGGAATCGTTAGGCGAGAATGAAAGATCTCTTCTATTCGAGACATAGAGGAATCTGCCCTTGACGTGGACCTCTCCCACCTTAGAGCCCGAAGGTAGTGTTTTGTTGTTGGCAATGGTCGTCAAGGTTTGCTTTAGAGTGAGCGTGAGACAACCTCCGTTGTCCGGATAGGAGACGGCAAATGCAGAAACTGTGTTTGCGAGCTCGTTGCCTACATAGAGAGTTTTCCCATCGAATTCGCCGTGACGTGGTCCAGTTCCAGGTGCCTGTGAGGGTAGAGTGTCTGGTCAGTTTTCACTTTGCGGTTCGTGCTCGCTCTTTTATACAGAATTATGTACGTATCAGAAATAGGAAAGAGGCCACGCCACTGACTGTTATAAAGTTTGGGCATTCTGCAAGTTTTCCTGTAGACTTGTCTATCGAGTAAATCCTTATTTGGTCGGCTCCTAGATCGGGAGAGAGGAGAAAGTTCCCCGTGGGGTCGACGACGACTTGATGCGGGTGGGGGGCATCTTGCTAAAAAGTGACATCAGTTTATGTGCAATATGGTGGGCTCATGAAGAATTGAGAAAGAAAGGATTTGATCATATTGTCTACTCTGACATGCCTGTTGCATTATTCGGGAATTTGTTTTGTAATCATCATCCACATCTTTCTTCTTGCGACACTTGCATAGGAGTTTTCTGGGGTTCCAAACGCATGATGGACAGTAAAAGTAACAGGAAAATGCCTTGATGATTTCTCATCATTCCAAACTTTAGGGTAATGGAGAGTATTATTCCAAAGGTTGGAAACAAACCGAGATATTACACTAGACCTCTAAAAACGAGAAAAAGAAAAAGAAAGCTCACTCTAGAAGGAATTTTTCCAGGCCCGTTCATCGTATACTTCAAAGTCTGTAAACTTCTCAAGGAAGACGACAAAGGAAGTTTATAAGTAGTAATAGACGACATCTGACTGAACCCTTATTAGCCCAAGTCCTTTCACCTGAATGACAACATACTAATGCGCAACAGCAATATAACCCGATCCATACAAAGTATTATGCACACCCCCAAGCGTAACACCCGTCGCCTTCCCAACAAGCGACACACCCCCATTTGCCGCCGCAGTGACAGCCGTCAAAGACGCACTTCCAAAACCAGTCTCGTCAGACGAATAGATCGTTCGAGTCGCAGGGTCGAAAGTCATCCAACTTGGCTGTCCACCCACGTTTGCTGAACTGTTCGTGGTAAGCGTGTATCCGCCATTGCTGGTTGGTGTTAAAGTCAGTGATTGGATCGTTCCTTGGTAGTGGGAGACGAAGATGTTTGCTGCGGTGACGATGTCTAGGAAGATGGATAAGAGAACCAGTGGATTCATTTTGGAAGACATTGTGAATGAATGCGCAGCCAAAGATTCCTGATAGTGTTTGAGTGGGTTTACGGTATTTATCATTGGGCTTGTTTCTAAAAGGCGAAGATGTTAACTCCTCCTGAGCCAGATTTTGCCATTGAGGCTGTGGTTACGTAGCATCAAAACAGCCTCAAATCTTCCCTATAATCTCGCTTAGCACATGAGATTTGCAAGATTGTGGGGTAAAGATGTGCTCGAGATCATAATCTGGTATTGGCCTTAAAGCTTCAATACATCGATAGTGCCATTGTCATCAACACAAACCAAATCTAGCATCTGACCAGCAGAGATGTGAAAAAAGATTACTTCGTCTGATCTTGAATGTCGGCTCCCTGCTCCGAATCAGGCGACTGTGATTTAGGCGGGATGGCGAGATTCTGTTTCTATATAGCCGTGGACTCGGTAACCTTCTCACCGCCAGGTTGGAGCACGACATTAGATTGCCGGTTTCCGAACCATTCCAGGTGATAGTGAGGTCGAATGATAGTGTGGGGTAGATGCATGGCTGCAATATACTTTGCTTCACACGTGAGTAAACAAGAGAGGATTATTTTATTGTCTTCTTTAGATTGCTTGTTGTGTCGGCAGGATTCTGGACTCAATGGATGTTCTTGTCAGGGGAACGAATTCTATCTTGACTAGTTTCGATCAGCCACAATCAGTGGGAGTAAGCTTAGCTCGCGTAGCATTCTGGGATTTTGGGAAAAAATTCGTGATAGTTGGTTATTCTAGGCTGACGTTACCGAAAGTCCGAAGGATATGAGCTGTTGTTGTCACAAGGGCTTTTGGACCGGTAGAGCTTATACGAGAGTACAAATTTTATGGATTATTTCATTTAAAAACTGTTTGTTTGTGCATATTTACTCTGAACCGATAGCTACGCGAAGGGGGTATGGATGGATGACAACTTCGTACATACAAATGAAGAAGCCAAGGCTGCCCACCAGTTCTTGTTGTGGCTTTTAGCAAGAACACCCTCATCTTTTACACCAAAGGGTTTGCAAGTTGTCCACAATGTCTTCCAGAATGTTTCTCACAATACTATTGTTATTATTTCCTGCCGCTATCAATGCTGCTCCCATGGCAGCGGTTGACACCTGTCTATCAGCAGCAAATGTTCCCCAAATCCTGACAACAAACTCACAATGGTCCCAGACAATCAAACCATTCAACCTTCGTTTACCATATACTCCCGTCGCTGTTGTACAGCCAACGACCATTTCACAAATCCAAGCAGCTGTTTCCTGCGCTGCTGCCAACAAGATACTCGTCTCCCCAAAATCTGGAGGTCACAGCTATGCTTCACATGGACTTGGGGGTGAAAATGGACATTTGGTCGTAGATATGAAGCTTTTCAATAATGTCACAGTTGACAGTGCAACTGGGATCGCAAGTGTCGGTGTTGGTGCAAGACTGGGAAATGTGGCTCAGTCTCTGTATAGTCAAGGCCAACGTGCTTTTTCTCACGGAACTTGTCCTGGGTATGTCATGTCTTCTGAATTAAACACTGGGTATTTGCTAACCAGCTTTCAGTGTGGGAGTAGGCGGTCATGTTGTGGGGGGTGGATACGGTTATAGCTCTCGAACAAGAGGACTCGCATCTGATGCTCTAGTTGAAGCAACTGTAGTCCTGGCAAACAGCTCGATCGTCACAGCATCCGCAACACAAAACCCAGACTTATTCTGGGCCATCAGAGGAGCAGGAGCATCATTCGGAATCATAACCACGATGAAATTCCAAACATTTGCGGCTCCCTCGAATAACATCGTCTTCAACTACGGCCTTAACTTCAACCAACAACAAATGCGGAATGCTTTTGCTGCATTGCAAGATTACGCCAATGGCACCGCACCTCCAGAGATGAATCTGAGGATCATGATTAATCCGTATAGTGTTTCTTTGATGGGTGTTTATTATGGGACACAGGCTGCTTTTCAGAGTGCCATTCAGCCTTTTCTGACGAAGATTGGGGTTTCCGGTGGGCAGGTATCGCAGAAGGGGTGGATTGATACCTTGACTACTTATGCGTATGGGAGTTTGTCGACACCGTTGAATTATGATGTTCATGAGACTTTTGTATGTCTTTACTATTTGTTCTCTTTGGACCACAGGCGATTCGGAGCTAATGATACAATGACTTTTAGTTTTCTAAGAGCTTGATGACTGAGAGGTTGACTGATGCTGCTATGGATGCTTTCTGGGCATATTGGTATAACACGGCCCGTTCGATATCCAGAGTAAGCACCTCTTTTTTCACATAAAAACATTCAGGATGTGGCAGTCGTTTCTTATATCGTTATCAAATCACAATCGCTACCTTCTCTGTAGCTCCAAACGGCACATCTACTAACATCGACCCTTTGCTACAGGACTGGTACCTTATCCTAGATCTCCACGGCGGCGTCAACTCCACTATCACAAAACTTGGAGTAGATTACTCATCCTACGCCCACCGAAACGCCTTAATAAAATACGAGTTCTATGACCGCGTAAACTCGGGGGATTATCCTAGTAACGGGTTTGACTTCTTGAATGGTTGGGTAAATAGTATTGCTAACAACAGTACGTATCCATATCTATAAAACTCAGAATGAAAGCCAGAATTAAATTTGGTATGGAGGCAGGTAGAGGGTACTAACTGACGAGATAACTAGTGAAAACCACAACTTTTGGCTCGTATATCAATTATGCTGACCCTACTCTCTCGACGGCTCAAGCGCAGACGCAATATTGGTTGGGGCACTATCAGAGACTGGCGGATATCAAGAAGGCGGTTGATCCTGGGAATTTGTTTTCCAATCCGCAGAGTGTTGGGAGGGTTTGATGTCAAGTTAAGTAGATGAAGCTTTGGTCTTTGGAAGCGAGAAGGGCAGAATAGAGACCAGAGGAAACACTTGCAAAGAGATGGTACAGGCAGAAGAGCCGAGTCATGAGCCGAGCGCGGTCTGTAATCTTACATGGCTGGCTAGATTTTATACTTGAGATAAATGAACAACTGGTTGATATATGTAATGCCTTGGGTCCATCACTCAACAAACGAGGAGCCCCGTCCATGGCTGAGTAATTTCACTCATTCACTCCTTCACTCCTTCACTCCTTCACTCATTCTGGGCTTCTAACTAACCTTGAACTCCGAGAGGGGAGATAGGAAAGGTACTTTTTCGTCATTCGCATAAGCTCAGCGAGAGCCAGGAAGAGTTTCTCCCTTTTCGTACCGCCTGCCCCTTCCCGTCGAGCCCGTCTAGGTAGAGATGGTGCAAACAAGCGAGGTCCACCTGCAAATGAATCCAGGTTGCATGCACAAGAAGAATTGCACAGGCACTTCCATCATTGAACGTAAGATGTAACAGTCTTGCATACTCGGGTAGGTAGAAGATAAATTGTATCGCCCATTTCGAACCGCATCCGTCATATCAAAGATTCAAGAGCAGTAGATACAGGACGGGAATTTCGTCTACCGTCCAACAAATGAGACACCTACTGAAAGGCATCCTCCCACGCGCAATGCTGTAGCTGGAGCAGAATTGCGCAGTTGGGTCGAACGGTTGAGGAGAGAAGAAAAAGTCGACCAGAAATTTCTGTTTTGTCTCCTCCAGCCTCGCTACCTATTTAGGCTTAGTTCGTGGAGCTTAACTACTTCCGAAGCCCGCTAGCCCCACCCAACATTTTTCTTAAGAACTCGGTTTCTGCAAACCTCCGTATGGAAATGGAATCCTTAGGCGACACCAAGTGGGATGTTGTGATTGAAGGGACCGGCCTACAGCATTCTTTGCTTGCTCTGTGAGCCTCGTCCTCATCTGCAAATACGATGATCCAGTCTGACTGACGCAGCCTGCCTTGAAGAGCTCTGTCCCGCTCCGACAAGAAGATCCTTCATGTCGATGGAAACCCATACTATGGCGCCGCCGAAGCCGCTTTCAGCTTGCAGGAGGTAGATGAATGGATTGAGAGGCTTGGACGAGGTTGGTGCGCCCTTTCGCGGCGCCTGTGGAGCTTATTCTGACGACATCACAGCTACGAATCCAACCCCATTTCAAAATGCCAACCTATGGAAGGCAACGGCCGACGCAGAGTCGGACGAGACTTCCAAGCTCTCTTTCTCTCGAGCCTATACCCTAACGCTCTCCCCTCAAATCATATATACCACATCAAAGCTTCTCTCGTACCTAGTATCGTCGAAGGTCTACAAGCAACTGGAATTCCAGGCAGTCGGAAACTGGTGGATATATGGCGCGGATGGTTCGTCGCTGACACGCTTGCCGAACGGCCGAGAAGATATTTTCCAGGACAAGAACATCGACAATCGATCGAAACGAGGTCTGATGAAATTTCTAAAGTTCGTGGTGGACTATGAGAATCAGTCAGAGGTTTGGGAAGCACATGGCGAGAACAGCCTATACAGCTTTCTCTCATCGCAGTTCCGACTTCCGGATCATCTGCAAATGGTCATATCCGCTCTGGCCTTGCCTCTGGAGTCTCCGGAGAAGAGCACAGTAAACTGGGCTCTTCCACGGATTGCTCGTCATTTGGCTTCCATCGGACGCCTTGGTCCCGGATTTGGAGCAGTAGTTCCAAAGTGGGGTGGAGGTGCTGAGATTGCGCAAGTTGCTTGTCGAGCAGGAGCAGTTGGCGGTGGTGTTTATGTACTTGATTGTGGTATGACCGATGTGAAGACTGTTGATGAAGCAGAAGACCAACCTGTTCGTATAGCACTCTCAAATGGAGAGAATGTTGGAACCAAGCTTTACATCCAAAACAAAAAGGTCGAGGGAGATTCCAGCGTGAAGGCGGTTTCAAGGATCGTTGCTGTGATCTCATCATCCCTTTCCTCGATCTTCAGAAGCTCGGTTGAAGGAGCTCCTCTCGCAGCTGTTTCTGTCGTTGTGTTTCCACCAAAAACTCTTCAGGTTAAGAATGACGTTCAAGAAAATCCTGTGTATATTATGGTACACTCGAACGAAACTGGAGAATGTCCAGCTGGTCAATGTAAGCATCTCTTTCCTTATTTTCCCCATACATTTTCCTGCATTACATGATGATTTAATTTTAAAAATTACTTATCTACATTGTCTGAATTACTTTGACGATAACTTTGGAAACTGATAATGCTTTCTATCTTCCACCTTGCATATTTTATTTCCAGTTGATTCATAACTAATTGCATAACAGGCGTTCTTTATGCTACGACTCTGCACAACAAGAATAGTAAAGCGATTCTTGAGCTTGCCCTAGCTACTTTTAGTCAATCGGTTGAGGAAAAGCCTAGCCTGTTGTACAGTTTGTATTATGAACAGAAAGAGTCCAAAAGCTCGTCTCTCGACGTATCTTTTGATGATCAGATTCTTGCTAGAGTTGAAGAGCAATGGAAGGAGGTGATAGGTCAAAGTGGAGGTGATGAAGCGTCGCAGTTCATGCAATTTGAAGAGAGGAAGGGAATGAATGCTGATGATGAGGATGACGAGGGTTATTGACGAATAGATACACATGGCTTGGAGTTTGGTGTCAATTCTTTCTACTTGTCTTGCTTCTAACGCTTGGACGAAGGAGCGAAACAATTCCATCATCATATTACTCCGTTCCCTTGCGCAGTGTTTACCTTTCCCCATTGAACCGAGCCGAGCCGTGGCCCCCAATAGCCGTTGTCCACTTTTCGATCTACATGCCTTCGTATTTGTGACTCCGCAAGGATTGATAAGTTGCCACGTTTGCGGAGTAAGAGATGAATAAGTTCTCAGCCAGGTACTACACAGGTACGAGTACTGTACATAAATTGCGCTATCGCCTCGACCTTAATACCCAGAGTCTAGATTTGTTTTTACGCCAATGGAACGTGGTGGCGTATTCAAGGAGCAGCCCACCAAGCCTGTACTAGGTAACATCCAGATAAGCGTATTCTACCCCGGTGAACGCCTCCGTTCTTGGGGTAAACTTCCCAAAAAGCTATTTGGATGTGTTGTAATCGCTAAATTCTTTTTTTTCCATCCTCTCATAGCAGGAGCAGTACTGTAGGACGCTTACAAACAAGTTTTCTTGATTAATAAGCGGGCTGCTGTGTTTGTTGGGTGGGGTGGTATACATAAGAGAATGTGTCGGCCACGACTGAGTAAAGAGGAGGAGGATGGGGAACATGATGGCGGTCGGGGGAGGGAGTTGCCTCTGCAGTTTGTTCTGGTGGGGGCTGGGGGTGCGGTTGAGAGTTTGAGGGCTGTTAGGTGAGTTGGGTTCTTGGGGTGTTTTTTTGGTTGTTGTTTTTCTCTATCTCATTTCTTGAGATCTTGGGAAACGAACTCTCTGAGATGTTTTGAGAGGGAATATGAGGTGGACTGACGAGATCTGAATTAGGAGTCATGTTATGAAAGGTCATCATGAGAAATTGAGGGAAATTAAGAAAGCGTATCTGAGAAGAGTTAAGAAACCTAGACGGCTGCAGGTGCGACCGAGGGATGAGGAACGGGAAAGGGGAGGTGAGAGTGGTTGTGGGAAGAGTGGGAGGTTGGAGCTTTTGAAGCCTGTGGTTCCTTGTCAGGTCAATTGTGAGATCTTTTTCTTATATTTATTTTACTCTTCGTCCTACCGCTATTCCTTTTGTATTTCGAAATGCCTACTAACAAACTCAATCCAGTAGTCCCCTACGCATGGTTCTCCACCACCGGACCAGTCCTGTATGTCAACCGCCTCAAATGGCCCTTCTCCGCTCCCTTCACGGTCACGCCGTCTGATCGTTTGAATGATGGGAGAAATGTGACACCTAGACAGTCTCATTGGATGCCCGCTATCAAAAGTCCGGATTATGTCCCAGTCCAGGGAGCCGTTCTGGACCCTGCGGTGTTAAGGTGGATTGGAGGGAGTAGTGAGTGTTGGCGGTTTAGGGTCGAGACTGTGAAGTGGATAAGGGAAAAGTTGGAGAATGTGAGGGGGAAGGGGGAGGGAAAGGGTGAGGAAGTGGGGGAGGTTGTTGGGGCTATTATGACTTTTTGTATGTGGACGGTATGTTGTTTTCTTGGTATTTTCCTTTTTCCCAACGGGGTACTGGGAATCTTTTTACTAGGAGCTACTATTTACTGGTTGGACGTGGACAGCCATACTGCTTCAAGTCCAGAGACATATCTCTTGTGGATCTTGAAGATTTCCAGCTCTTCAACATTTCAGGAATTGCTTGAATGTCGGACTTTCCTAGCCCATAACTATAAATAACACCCATCTCACCTTACTAACTAAAGATTCGGCATAGGCAGGCTACAGAGACGCAGAAGAAATGAGTTCTCACATGGACGCAATAGAAAAGATCGTCAACCTCCGAGGGGGTTTTCGTCGTTTGCAAAAAGAAGGGGACTGGGCACTAACAGCAAAACTCACAATGTAAGTCCTCATTCTTATCGCCTAAACCGACCGAACACAAAACAGGTTACTAACGGATATAAAAGATTCGACTACACAATCTCCGTCCTAACAGGAAAAGCCCCACGTTTTCCGCCCGTGGAATACTTCGTCAACCGACCAGTTACGTCAGATACATATTCCCGCTTTTCAAGCTACGAATCACCGTTATCGACCACTGGGAACTTCGAGAGGGTTATCACATACCGAAAAGGGGAGAAGGAAATCATCACATGTCTAAAAAAGACATGGTCAAAAACCCAATCCTTCATTTCACACCCCCTCTCCCATCCCCCACAATCACACCCCCCCTCCCCAGAGCTCAAACTCGAAACCGAAACCGAAACCACAGAACCAGTCCCCTTCATAGGCGAACCCAAACAATCCTACAAAACCCACCTACTCACCCTCCCCCTCCTCTCAACATGCCACCAACAAGACCATAACCACGTTCTGGAAACCATACAGAATGCAGCGCTTCTATACGAAAGGAGTCTTGATCAAGAAAAACCGATGCAATTCCATGATACTATGAATGAGGAGGTTTATGAGGCGTTGTTTGAGGGCTTTAGTAGGTGTTGTGATGATGGGTTTTGGGTGAGGTATCCGGGGGTTTTGCTGTGGGTTTTGCTGGTTGGGACTGCGGGGGGGAGGGGGAAGGAGGGGGTTGCTTTTGTGAGTTTTCTTTCTTTTTTGTTTTCTGGAGCATTTGGGGAAGGTGTGGGATGCGCGGTTCTGAGGAGTTCCTTTTGAGTGGTGTTTGTATGCTGATTCCAGATTGTAGTGGACGTTTTATTTGAGTCGCTCAGTTAACTTTTCGGATGCGGAGGATTGGTTGGCGATTAGTGGGGCGATTAAGAGGTTTATGGAGGTGCAGAGGTGGCTTAGGATGGTTGCTTAGAATATAAATACACATATAAATATAACATACATACACTTATATCATACGGTACCTGAAAATTGATTTGGTCGCTTGCTGCTTGTTATATGTGAATGAATCCATGAGACAATCAACAGAGTGACAAACCCAGTTCCAACACCACAAAGAGATATCCTGTTTCCAAACGCTCTGTTAATCTTAAGCAGTCCCCTACAAATCGCTCCATGATCCAAATTTGTTCCGTTGTTTTCACGTTCTTTCCTTTTTACTTCTATACTCTTCACTTAATATAACTCTTTACTTAAACCAACTACTATAACCCCATCTACCTCCACAACCACCCCCAAAACAACCCCAAACCTTAACCCTATCCAATAAACAATCGAACATTCTACACACACTGCCTAAAGAGGCGAAATACCCGCTTTACCCAAAAATATCTTAAAATAAGCATGATCTCTCCAGATCTAACCAAAAGCACAAAAGCTCATATCCTCTTCGTCACCTAGCTCCTGTTATAAGCATACACAAGACTAACTTCAGTAAACAGGTCCTTGGTAGAGGCTCAACAGCTTCTTACTGCTGCTGACATAGAACAGGGTTGTTGGTGTTCTGTACAAGAGAAGAGCAACAGCACTCTTTCATGTCACTTTCTGGCAAAGTAGGCTTCAGGGGGTCAATCATGTTGTTGGCGTTATGTTGTTGATTGGTTACTCGGGTATTGCAGGTCCTCGCTTGTTGAGAAGGGAGATGAGGGTGCTGAAGGGTGAATGAGAGGGAGTTGTGGTGGGAAAGGTGGAGGGAGAGTGTTAAGGAAGTGAAAGTGTGTCTTGTGGCTAGGAGGAGATGAATGTGTGCTTTGATGCACAAGTCAAGGGTTAAGACTGAGACAAGTGATGCTAACAGAGGAGGGGAGGAGAGGTAAGTTAAGAATCATTTCCTCCCTATTGCCTAGACATAAAAGTGATCTAATAATTGACTTGTGGTAACTCATGACAGAGCTGGTTTCAACTTCAAAAATGCTAATGGGATGTGCTTAATGAGAATAATGTAAATTTGAATCTAGTACAGACGGAGAGGTGTAAACAAGAACTTCTTTTTGTCTATCTGTCTTGCTATATAGAGGCAAGAGGATAAATTTGTGATTAGCACACAGAATGAAAGGGATTAACGATTGAGTTTGTTTTGAGAGAAAGTTGGAAAAGGGAGGGATATATTTTACACCTTAGAGATATAGAATGCACAATTTGTTCGTAAGGCGTATTCAAGTAGGCTTAGATATTCTCGTTTTGTAGAAGGGTCAGGACATTGGCGTTGATTAGAAGTTAACGAAACGAAAAAGAAGAGGGGTAGGATCTTAGTGTTAGGGTGTTGGTGTTATACAAGCCAATTATAGACCAAGCTGTAGAAGAGTAAAAAGGTAAAAGAAATAGATTAAGTTATTATTAAGACTCTCCTTCAAACTTAGCTTAGTTCATCTTCCTCCTTTCTAAACCCCTTCACACGGGATATTTGGTCATCCTCAAATAAAACCCCGGTAATGCTCTCTCTCAGTCGACGCCCCCACTCCACACAAGTCCTCTATAATTTCCTCCCACCACCCACTCAGGTCCTCTCAAGTCTGACAACCCAACCAATCCCCAATTCAAGCCTTTTATAACTCCTCGAAGCTAGCTAACCATCCATCCTTTCCCCCCTCACCCAGAAAAGTCCAGCAGCTTAACCTCGAGCACGAGATACCATCTCAAAAAAACATCTCTCCCCACACATTTCGCCAAATTCCTAATACTAGTAAGTGCCAAACTCGAGTCGCATGATACAGTAAGCGAAAATAACGTGTCGGTAACGAGTTTCCGGATCTTTCTCTATCTAGAACACGAAGTGACGGACGTCCTCTTGGTCTCACATCACCTCACCAGTCTACACTGGGTTACGCTAAACAATTTCGCAGAACTAGTTAGCTTCTATGGTCTGTCTCTTAGCTAGCTAACCTGCTATATGCGATGCGCGATGCTCGATGCGCTTTGTGCTAGTATAGATCACTATAAGACTACACAGAGCCTAGCACTTCCTGCTCTTGTCGGCAAACCCTTGTTACGTCGTGCTTCCTGATCAAATTGTGAAAAGTCTTGAATAGTAGTAGACTATTTCGGTGCTTGAAAGGTTATGGGAATATGATGTAAGAATCAAAGTTGTGTGGGTTGAAGGGTAGTCTGTTTAATGTGGTAAAATGATGTGCAAATTCTTTTGATACAATCTACTAAGCATGGCATTTCATCATTTCATGATATCAACAAATCAGACTGAAAAAAGACCTGGAACAGACGTCTCATATTCGTGGATATTCAGAATTACATATGTGACATCTATCTCTGCGCAATAAAAGAGGTTCTATGATATCTACCTAGAATATACCTCAATCTTCGGCATCGTCATCATCGTCATCATCATCAGTGATAGGTTCAACAATGAGATTACCACTCTTGCCAACCTTTTCTCCAATATTGCCCTCGGATTCGAGGTCATAAACCACTCGTGGAAGTGTAGAAACAAGTCGAAAACCATATTCGTGCTTGTAATCTTCCGGTTTCTCAGGCACCTTTTCCGAGGCACTATCCTCCCCATTGATCAGCTCATAGCATTCGACGAAAGCATATATCTCCTCAATGTTATCTCCTGCTCGGAATTTTCTCATAACTCTCGCAGCCTCTGGCATCTTCAATGCCACTCTTACAATATCCTTCTCGTCCGGCGATGGCTCCGATCGAATTTGAGAAGCTCTCCATCTTCGCCATTGGTCCTTCTTCTCTGCCAGGAGGGCAGCATTTGCTTCTTCCTCTAATTTTGCTTTCTCTGCCGCTGCCGCTGCCGCCTCTGCTTCCTTTCGTTGTCTCGCTCGTTCCCGATCCTGTGCCAAACTTCGTTCATAAGCGGAATCTTGCTCAGCACGTAAATTCCGTTCCGCATTCTGAAGTGAGTGTGCTGCTCGTCCGGTTTCCAATTGCGAGGTTCGTCCAGCATGCGCGCTCTGGAGCTTTGCGAGGTATACGGCGGGTTCCATAGGACCTACCAATCTCGAGACAACGGATATCGCTGTGCTACTAACTTCTGGTGTGTTGCAAATCAATGCTGTAAAGGGGAATTTGCTGCACTTCAAGGCAGTCGAAACTTGGTAGGCTTCTGCATCCCGAATATCTCCTATCCAAAGTCTAATCATGTTGTTGGGGTCACGAAGAAAGGCGGTAACTTCTGTGTTCATCAGAACGTCGCGACAGAAGGTAGAGGTATCGTCGTGTTCGGGGGAGATGAGAACGACGAGAAGGAATCCGTATTCACGTTTCGTATGGTCGAGTGATGTCGCATATCCAAAAGTTGGCCATGGGAGCTCGTTCTCACCGTGCTCTTCGGTGAATTCTCTCTGTACTCGTTGCGCAGCATCTGGTGGTGATAACGGTCTTCTACCACTCGTACTAACCTCCCTTAGCGTTCCAGTAGTACCTGCTCGAGGGAATATTCGGAGAAAGGGGAAGAGGTAGGCGAAGTATCCAAAGGGAGCAGCGAACATGGTATACAGGAGTTTGAAGGGCGAGAACATGATGGCAAGGAGCAACGAGGGTCGAGGCATTGCTTGGGACTCTGGTTGGGGAACGATTCGTGGAGCCGCGTCTGGTCGATTCTCTCCTCTCAGCGCATTGGGTTGGCCATTGAGCAAACTCTGTTGTAGGTTCTCATGTCGCGGAGCTCGCGGAGGAGGAACATTCTGTGCCGCCAATGCTTCTGCCACGAGATCGGGACCTTCTCCATCGAAGAATTTGGCAACTGCGATCTGGGAGGATTTAGCAATTCATCTCGCGCAAGGTAGACAGCTCCACTGGAAGTGAAGGTAAGACTTACCTCTACGTTCCACTGTGATCTGCGAAGCAATGGTATCGCGGCCTGTATATCTTGGTCGGTGACGGAGGTGTATTGCTGCAAGGCCAGCTGTTGCGCCTCGGAGAGAGTACTGATATCTACTTCCGGATTTGCCATTTCTGCAAAGGCAGGGGAGGTGCGGAAAAGTGGTTGGGTGTTTGTCCTATGCAGACATTGGATGGGGAGGCATGCGAGGTTTTGAAGGGGGTGGAGGTGGGGAGTGGGGGTGTTGGCTCTAGCGCGAACTTGACCATTTATTAGGGAAGAATGGAAGAAGGTTAAGATAGGTCGGTTTCTAGAGGAGTAGTAGTGGTGTTGAATAGGTGTTAGGTTGGTTAGCTCAGTTAGATCTGGCCCATTAACTTATGACGGAGTTAATAGGATGGAGTGAAGGCACGGCGCATTTGGTAGTCCATTCACTGCAGATCCGCTAGGCGACCTGCCTGCCTGCTGTCTGTTGGCCCCAAGTCCCCTTCAAGGTTGGCTTCCTTGACCTCTCTGTACTTGGCTGGTTTACTCCCGAATGCGCAGGAGCCCGCTCCTATCTCGGACCGTCACCTAAACCTTACCCGCCATCCACACAGCAGCTGGTCCGATGAGCTCCGATGAGCTCCGATGAGCTCCGGGCTCTGTGCTCCAGGCTCCAGGCTCCGCTCTCTGGAGGCTGATGCGAGAGGCACGTCCTCCGCCTTGCCTCGCAAGCCTCCGTCCCAACCTTGGAAACAATCCCCCGCGTCCCATTGCACTTCATCAGAATTCACCCCGACTCGCACCTCACCACCATTCACTTCGCCCACAATGCACCTGTGAGGCTGATCTGTCGATACGCACGGGGATCGCATTCCCATTCCCAGTCCCCTTGATGGACGACCTCTCGGAATTCCAATCACTGCTACTAAGAGAAATGTTGTTCGCCCAGTCCCCGTATGTACTCTGTATAGCCTTCCCATCTGAAGTTACGTATGCGTAGCCTCAGCACGGTCTTTGTTCCGATTCTCCTCCTCTTCCCAACCAACACAACCATAAGCGATTGATCGGCACAGCAACGACAATGATGTGTGCATAATGCCTCTGTTTCTGCCATGTCAAGTCTGTTGAACCCAGCTAACCAAGTCAGGCTCCGTCAAGTGTCATTTTGGGGTGCAGCAGATAGCTGAGCGATCACAATATGTCCTCCCGCTTCAATTCTCCCGAGCTGCGCAAGCCAGCCGGCTCGCCTAGGCCCAAGGGACGAGGTGTGTGGTAGTCGGAGGTCGTCGTTATGGTATCAGGCGGGTGCGCTGACACGATGTATTGCAGAAAACGCGAAGGATACCCTATGCCGGAATGTTCTAATATATGGCCATTGCCGCTATGAAGACCAAGGCTGTGCCTTCAACCATGATCCGAACAAAACAAACTCGGTTCAACTAGAATCGTAAGTATATGGCATTTCGTTGTGTTGAGGATCCAAAGCCCGTCTATCCCAGAATCGGCATGAGGAGCGAGTGTGGCTGGGAGTGATGGGCAGAAAAACGTGGGGAAGATGTCCAAGTCAAAAGAAAATGGTCGTTTGGGCTGTCACTTGCGTTCATGGTGGAAGTCGCGGACTAAGCGAGTGTCCTGTCCAGCGAGGACTTGGCCTCCTCGCGGGCTCGACTTCCCTTCCCCTACACGTCCCTCCATCTCGACACCCCCGCAAGCTCAACGACACCAAAGAATCCAACGGTTTTCATGTCCTCACGCATCATTTCCTCGCCATACTTCTTCCCGCACTGGATTCAAGTCATGAGCAACTCGAACAGAAACAGTGACAATGGAACAACTGAATCCCCAGGCCCCTCCCATCTATCTATCCCCCTCCCAAACCCCGCAGCCTCCCTCGCAATTCGTCGTCTCGAGGAAGCCAACCCCGGACTCATTCCCCCAATTCTCGGCAATGGTCGTCGAGGGGCCATATCAGGTCTCGCAGGCAATCCCAAGGGTCCCCAAGGCTTCCAAGGCACTGCGAATAACAATGCCGCCACGGGAAACCAATGATGGACTCAATGTAACTAACTACTCCGCTCCTAGCAAGAAAACTCTTAATGTCGACTCGCCTTCGTTCACGCCTGCGGCATTACCATTGCCAGGCAAATCGTCTTCTATAACCTCTCAAGCTGCCAATGCAGCACCATTCACGCCTCGTGGGCTCGCCAGTGGTAAGTCCTCAATCTCTCAACTTGCGCGTAAACTTCTAATATCTCTCAGGTACCGTTACTCCAAATCCCCAACCAGACTCACTTCCCCCTGTTTTCAATCCTGCTACCATTCGAGAATTCACACCCCAAAATTACGAGCCTGAAAACGTGAGTGCATCTTGCTTCCAAGCATGTTTGATCTTCCTCGTCAAGAAAATTGACATGCAGTTTGTACGATGGAATCTGACGTGGTTTACCAGAGCCTCGCAAATGATATCTCTGGCACTGAACATCATTATGGAGACCCCTTCCAAATGTCTGCTGTCACACAGGCGATGCCAACACCTACACATTATAATCCTTATTTGGAAGAGAATTCAACTATGGGTAGTAATGGGGCAGGATACTTTCAGTCGAGCGCGGCTTTTATGGCTCCTGGACAACCCGTAAGTTTCAACACTTCAAACCTCATCCCTGCAATGCTAATCATTGGCAGTTACAATACCACCTTTACGCCCCCATCGGTCCTCACAGAGAAGATCTTTTGGCTTATCAAAAACTTGCACATGATTTCTTCATGCCAGAAGCTCTTCGGGAGGAGTTACATAAGAAGGCAGAAGCGACCTTTCAAGTCATGCCAAGTAAGGTCTCTGTTCAAATCAATTTGTTTCTCCACTGATAATCTGTAGATTCCCAATTACCGACACTCGACAATTATCATACATTGGTCGCTTTAGATACTAGCCATCGAAAGAGTGCTACTGTGTTCGGATATCCAAGTTGGGTTTATAAAGCAACCTCCATGAAAAACGGCTTCATGTATACATTGAGGCGTCTTGAAGGTACTTAATGCCCCACTCTGTCTGCTCTCTTCTAACAAACTTCAGGATATCGCTTGACCAATGAGAGAGCTATTCGATCTGTCAAAGAGTGGAGACGAGTCAATTGCGGAGGAGTGGTCTCTGTGGTTGACGCATTTACTACAAGAGCATTTGGCGACAGCTCACTCATCTTCGTCACCAATTATCATCCTCTCTCTAAGACTTTAGTAGAGCATCACTTTGCCAACACCAATCGCTTCGGTAATCGAGTCACGCAAACCGTTCCAGAACAAGTTTTGTGGAGTTATATTGTTCAGCTGGCTTCTGCTGTGAAGGCTGTTCATGCTGCTAGTTTGGCTGTTCGATGTATGGACCCTAGTAAAGTCATACTAACTGACAAGGGACGAGTCCGTTTGAATGCATGCTCTGTTCTGGATGTGGTTCAATTCGATGCCCAACGTCCTCTCGTGGAATTTCAACAAGAAGACTTTATTCACTTTGGAAAGTTGATATTGTCCATCGCTACGCACAACCTGTCCGTTATGACTTCGCATACTCTTATGGTGTTTGTGGAGCAACTCAACCGTACCTATACGCCGGAGTTTCGGGAAACCGTAGTCTGGCTTCTCACACCAGCGCCACCGGGGCAAACGAAGAATGTCGGGGAATTCTTGAGCGGGATCGCTAGCCATGTGGCTGATGCATTTGATAGCAGTCTCCACGCGAACGATACGCTTTACTCGGAAGTCAATCGAGAGGTAGAGAATGGTCGGTTAGCACGTCTTCTCATGAAGCTTGGTGCGATCAATGAACGACCAGAATACGATGGTGACAGTAATTGGAGCGAGACTGGGGAACGCTATGTCTTGAAATTATTCCGAGACTTTGTGTTCCACCAGGTTAATGCGGACGGTAGACCGGTTGTGGATATGGGACATATGATCTCTTGTCTCAATAAATTGGATGCTGGCAGCCAGGAGAAAATCACACTGACCAGCAGGGATGAACAGACCGTCTTCATCGTCACATATAATGAGATGAAGAAGCAGATCAATTCGGCATGGGCAGAGCTACAAAAGCCACCCAGACGCTGAGGATCTTTTGGAAGGGATTTGCATTTGCTATGTTGATAGTATTTTGAGCGTATGGGTCACGATGTGCCACCAAGTAGGATTTCACGCCCGTTGCAAAATATGGGAAACAGTGGATATCCATAGAAGTCTCCTGGATAGAGCTGTATTATCATGGAGTGCTGGAGATGCAGACACTCACAGGGGCAAGATTTCGGGTCCGTAGAAGAAGAAATGAAAAACATTTACAAACTAATCACATCTTGCAGGTGGAGTGAGCGATGATAAAATATTGAGACTATGTCCACTTTATTTTGTTCGTAACAACCATCTCGTGGCCACCTAACGGGACCAACTAATTCATTATCTCGTTGGTATTTCCTGCGTGTTCCACGACATAACTTATCGTGTACTGGTATCTCTTATTGATGGAATTTCTGATTGCCCATCCACAGATTATGGATAGCCCAGCCTAGCCACAGATCTTCATCTTTCATTTTCCCATTGACCAAACATCCTTCTGGGCGTACATCTTGCAATTATCTACGCAACAACCTACTCCTCTTCCTGCTGTATGAAAGGATTCGCAATCTCCTCGCTTCCATCCATGGGCGAGACTAGAACTAGGAGGGTACCCCTAGCGACGACGAGACCGAGTGGTCGGGTGGTGGTGTTTCCTTCATCGTCGTGCAGGGTTTCGGAGACGTCGTCGAGGACTAGGTTCATGAGGGCGTCGTAGCCTTTTAATGTTCCTATCACTGGGGGTTTGTTAGTATGATATAGCAAGAGGAGAAATGGAGGGAAAGAGAGAGGTAGTACCTTCTCTTCCGCCGGTAAATTTCACAGTGATTTGTTTGTCCATGTATTTCCCTAGATCGAGGATATTTTCTTTCTTCGGTCTTTCGGTTTGTGAGCCGTGGCCGCCTCTGCCTCCTTCGTGTCCGCCTTTATTGAGTCAAGTTAGCAATAATGTTCTTGGAGTGAAGAATGTTCCTCGGAGGGGTATTGCTTCTCGAGGTGGGGGTGGGGGAAGGTTAAATAAAAAAAGATAGATGGATGGATGGATAGACGAACCTCTACCTCCTCGGCCCCCTCCACGGTGATCACCTCTGCCTCCTCCCCCGCGACCTCCACGTTGATGACCTCGTTCGGACATCAGTGCGCATTTGTTGTTGTTGGTGGTGAAAATATGGTTGGTGACGTTATTCGCAAAGGCGGGGGGATAACTCGTATTTCCAGAGATGCTGGCCAGGGGATGGATGGATGAGGCTGAAGAGAGTTTCCCCGTCGTACTGTCGGGTCCTCCGACGGGAGGCTCGGAGGGGACCCTCTTTCCGTCCCGTGTGTGTCCTGTGCTTTTGCGCCGGACTTGGTGAGAGGAGGATTTTGGTGGCGCTTGGCGGGTGTTGAGTGGGGTGGCCGGTATCGACCGTTAGGTATAAAATTGTAAGATCGAGGTTTAATCGTTTTATATACTTTTAATACTAAGTATTAACTTATAGGTGCTTATATTACAAGGAATATAACTATTAGTATATACTAGGTAATAATTGATTAAATATTAAAGTAAATTATTATTTATTTTTATTTTTAAATATAATAATAATAAATATAAATATAAATATAATTATATTAGTAATTATTTAAATATTAAAAGACTATTTAAAATTAAGTTACTTCTTTTGATTTCTTAATTTTTATATAAACTATATATAAATATTCTTATAAAATACTAGGTTTTAATTTTTAACAATAGTTTAGGTTAATTAATCTTAAGAAAAGTCGATTTGCCATTTTTCGTCGGAGGGCTAGTAACGGCCGCCATAGGTAAAGTGGAAATCCCGCCCGCGAGCCCGTTCTCCTCTCCGCCCAACCTCCTCCTTTGCTACTTGACATCACCACTCTCCGCGTGTTCTGTCAGCTGAACGAAACCCTCCCAAACCGTACTTGGGGAGAGACGTTTGCACAACTAAGAGAAAAGGCCAAGCGCATGTTGTCGTGTACCGCTATCTCATCCCTCAGTCCAAGAAGGCGCGTCATCGTTCATCGCTGAAGCGTTCGACCCGACGGAGCAAATAGGAAGGGCGTCAGCGGAGGGGAGGGAACCCGCCCGGGAACTTCCATTCACCATCCCCTTCGTTGCCTCTCCTCCTTACATTTCCTCTCTTCCTAAACGGAGAGGAGGAGGGAAAGGCACAATGGACTCGCCGATTGTCGAGAACGCGGGATTGAAAAGAAAGAGGAGTCCTCTGAGTAATGATGAGAATTCGGCGTCTGGGAGACCCGTACCGCCTGGGATGAGTACGGGAAATGTTACCCAGATTAACTATTTGGTCAAAGCGAGGGCGGAGAAGTTGGGCTTGATTGAGGGCGATGCGGAGACTTTCAGGGATGTTTTGGGAATGATTGATGAGTATGAAGGTGAGATATATCTGGTCTTTGCTCTGTGTACACATACAGATTTTGAGTTTTGTACTCTTTTTCAAACCCAATACCCTAAAACAATTAAGTCGGTTGTTCCAAGAAGCCTGGCGAATATCCTTCTTACATATTCCATGAACAGCATTAACAAGGTCCAGGTGTTTTACAACGTCACGAAAGTTTGGCCGCGAACTTGGGCGCAAAGCTCGTTGGTCCATTGCTTTTGAAATCATTTGAGAAGCTATTCAATGAACCAATCAAGATCATCCAGACTTCTCTGGCTTTAGAGCAATCTATAAGCTGGCTAGATATTGTTACATTTGCTCGTACCAATATCTCCGACTTTAAGCCAGTTGAAGATATACCCGGAATCAGAACTTACCGTGTCTGGATCAAGGGAGGCCAGATCGAGATCTCCGAAGACGACTACCGATTGATTATGTCGGGTGCTCCAGAAAGAATGATACCCACCCAACCCATTGCTGAGGATGAATCTGCAGAATTGGGAACGTTGAACATCTTGGAAGCTCGTCTTGGGGTACTTATTAAAAAGGCAGATGTGGTTGCTAGCAAGGCGAGACAACTCAACTATCACCTCAAAGGAAGAAAAGCAGCTGTGATGACCAGAAAACAGGCAGAGCAACCTAATTCCATGATTCCAGAAAATAATCAGGATGCGAGACCCTTCTCACCACAACACGGCCCTGTTAACATGATGTCACCCAAATCTGCCCATATAGAACCAACAACAAAAATGCAGCAACAACTGTTGGAGCAATTCCTGGCTGGTGATAGACGTCAATCCGCACCGCCGCAAGCTCGCGCTAAACCTTCTCGGGCAACAGCAGAGCCTCTGGTCGGGCAGGTCAATTATAATGAGAATCCCCTACACGACGCTCGTCGTTTGTCTCAACCAGCAGCGCTCTCGGACGATGGCGCGGAGAATCAATATCGAGTTTTGATGGCTGCAAAGATTGACAAGCTGGCCAAGGGCGATGCCATCTTCCCACCTTGTGACAGATGTAGACGATTGGGATTTGACTGCGCTAAACATCTCACTGCTTGCAGTGCTTGCACCAAGAAACATGCCAAATGTTCTTGGAAGGAAATTAGAGAAGGCGAATTGGAGCATTTACCGCAATTCCAAAGCGGCAATATTCAGCAGCTTCAGGGTTATGGTTCGGTGGAAAATGGGGGAGGAGTGTCGGTCGTGGAAGGACATCTTGATTCAGGCTTGAGAGACAATATGCACATGGGCTCAGCGATGCCACATGCTAGCATTGAGAATCGCATGGATCATTTTGAGCAAGGTCAATTTTTCGATCGACGAATGGGTCGAGACCATGCCACTTTAACTCAAATGGCATCCGCGGCAGCTGCTGCGGGAAACCGATAATGGAGATTTGGATGGAGTTCATACCATGGGAAGAGGTCGGAATACTCGGGCGATAGCAGTTCTGTGTACGGCAGTCACTGCTCACTTTTTGGGACGACCAATCAGCATCGTCCCATTTTGGCAGGATCTCTGGGTCCGTTTGGGGGGTCCTGTACTACAACATCGATCCTTGGAAAATATAACTTAATTTACCTACCCCGCCCAAGCCTGTTTGCAAGTGGTAAGAATCGTGTTAATCACCGTGGTAGGTGCAATCGTCTGTTGCGTGTTCTCTTTTTTTGCAATTTTCTAAAATCTATTAGGCTGTATACAATGGCTGGGCTAGCAACCAAGGCCCCACAAGATCAACTTCCTCAATGATAAAAAGATAACCTTATCTCATCCTCTGTATGAGAACTTTTCTTATCTCTGCTAGCGTGATTCCTGAGGTTGTCAATACTGGAAATCTTTGCTCGCCTGTTTGTTATCATCCCCTGACGTGGAGTTTAGGTCGGTGAGTTCCACTTTTTTTGAGACTAATCAAGCCACAGCAACCTGGATGGCTCCTAAATTGAGACTATTTCTTCTGCCAACCTTGAACTTTTCTTCCTACCCTTCCACACAAAGATACAACACATAATCGGTCAGCAAGCTTTTGCCTCTCCTGTGCAACACCAGAACAATCCTTCAAGCTCAGCCTCACACGTCAGCTAACATTATAAAAAAGGAGCACACCTTCTTGTCTGTGAGTAACATTCATACTCCTCCAATATAAAATTTCTCATGGTGTCGTGTTTGGTCCATCCTGTTGGTGGTTGACGCCCCTTTTCGTACTGGACTTCCTATCAACAACCACAAGTGCTAATTGAGGACATAGCTACCTACACATCAAGCACAATGATGTTCTCAGTTCTTCTCTCCCTGGCTTTGGCCGTTACCACCGTCGTCGCCCTTCCTACTACCATCGATGCTCCTATCCCTGGCCGCTACGCAAAGACTTACCTCCCTGACTGCGCCATTGAAGGCTCCTTTGTTGAGAACCCCACTTCCAAGCACTATGGTCCTCAAGTAAGTTTTCTCTCCCCTTACCTTCCCACCCAATTAAATCAATACTTACTCTTCCAGGCTGTCCACGATATCATCGCATGCCAAACCCAATGCCACTATACTGGCGGCTGCGTCATGTACTCCTGGGACGTCAACGCCAAGGCCAACGCTTGCTACCTTTACGCCGCCAATGGTAGCATGAACGTTGCTAGCACTGTGTTTACTGACACCGTTGCTCGTGGGGGATCGGGTATCTTCTTTGCTGATCGTCATGTCAGAGACGGGACTGAAGTTTGCTATATGACTACTCCTCTTCCTCGACCTGTTGACATCGCTCGTCTTCCTGTTGGCGGACTTGCTCAATAAGGGGATGACGATTGAGGATTGCGGGTTAATGGACTGAGGTTCTTGAGGTAGAAGGAGCCCTTTTTATCTTGCTGATGATGGGCTTCTTGGGATGCTCGTTGGACTGTTGAGGTTTGGTGGACTTGGCACTTTCTTCTGGTCCTTCTTTCTTTGGTTGATAACCTTCTAGACGTGTTGTTTCACGGAACTTTCCTCGCAAAAAGAAGTGTAATCTTAGATATGGGCTCATTGAGGGCCTTTGGTAAAAATAGACTGTTTGTCTCTTCTCTGCTGCATTTCTTGATGATAACTTCGTGAATGTGAGATTTTCTCGATGATTTTTGGAATTTGTTTTCGTTTTCTTTGACGAGATCCTAGGGTCTTCTATGTGGTAGCCCTAGCCCTCCAATTGGTCGTATCGAGTAAGACCCTGGTTCTTCGTCTTAATGAGACATTCGATCTCCTCTGTGATAGGGAAATTAAAGTTTGACAGACCACGTGATGGAGCCCCTTTCTACGCGAGAAAAATTTCAAACTGTATTCACCACATCAACGAACGTTATTTTGGGATCGTGAGATTGCTGAAGAACCATTGTGTTCGTTTTCCTGGAGGATTGGCTGTTGATCTCTGTTGTATATGTTTTCGGGGGTTCTGATTTGGAGTTTGTGTCCCTGAGTGATAAGTGAAGGGTTAAATTCCAGATACCAGAACGCTTCTATCCCCCATCACCCACCCAACCCCCAACACGTCTCATCCAGTCAACGTAAACAAACCCCCACACCACTCGCCTGCCCCCAACCACCCTACCCACACCCTCCCCCGGGAAACCCTCGCCTCCATCCACCCCCTCTCATGTGCCCTCCTCCCTTCCACACCCACAAACCCACAATATCTTTATAAACGCAATAAGCAGCAGTGTCTGTGTTCCTACGTGCAATGTGGCACCAAATGAAGGGCGGTTGTGAGTAGGCGCATGTCGCACCAGCAGCGAAAAGCTTGGGCACATCCTTGAAAAATCCCACGGGCTGGGGTTTTCTAAGGGCTCCCCAAATGAAGGGGAGTCTGGAGTTGTGCTGGTTTGGTTTTTGGTTTTTTGGTTTTTTGGGGGTTTTTTAGGGGTTGGTCGTTTTGGGAGGGGAGGGGTTGGTTGTTTTGGGAGGGGAGGGGTTGAAGTGTTGATGGGATGGTGATGGGGCTAAGCGAGATTGTGTGGTGGTGGGGATGGGGAAGTGCTGTGTTGTTTGTTCGTGGAGGTGTCGCTTTGGGAATCTGGAATGTGTGTATGGTATGATCTTTGGATGTTCTCTGTGCGATTTGTTTTTTTGGATATCACGATTCAATTTGCCATTTTCTTTTCAATAAACAAATGGAAGCCTTTACGTTCTCCAGATCGCACTTCACCTCTTATGTTTGGTTACCAGCACCATTTTCTAGAACTCGCAATACCCTACCTGTATCCATTCTGTAAAGCATCCACGCCCTCTTTAACAACTACATATCCTCTCCCTACCTTTTCTCTCCCTGACTATGCATCGAAGGCATCGCTATATGTCCGTTTCGCGCCCGTCTGCCATCTACCAAGTCCTCTTGCCATTTAGGATGTTCAAGCTTCCACTGAAAGATTTCTTCATTCTCCCAAGTACAGAATCCCTCAGGGGCAATTCGATACATATCTAGCTCTCTTGCGTCTAGCATACACATGTGTTGGGCCATAGCTGCTCCCAACTTTCGGCGTTCTTCTTCTGTGGCATCTTTTTCGCTCATGATGTCGAGTGCTTCTCGCATCCTTGCCGTGATGTTGAGAACGCTTGCCTGGTCTTGTGGTTCTGGAAGTGCTACTTGGGAGTTGGGTGCTTGGGTTGCGTATGGTGGTGGTAATGGACGTGGACGAGGAGTGGAGTCCCAGGGGAAGGGACGGCGGTTCTTGTCGACTGGATCGAGTTAGAGTAGTAACTCATTCCACATAATCACGAGATTCACGTAGCAGAGTTTACAAGCATAAGATAAGGAGTGAACTAGGGATGGACTCAGCTGGAGTAAACTTACAATACATTTCCCACAAGATGACTTCAGTTCGGTGTGCGTAGTAATCATTTTCTCTTCCTCGTTCTGCGCCTTGGTCCGGGTGTCTCGCAACCCGACCAGCACGCTCCCACATTCGATGGATAAACTCTCTATCCAGCTGCTCGTCGGTGATTGTCGTCAATAATCCCTTGGGTCCCCCTAGCTGACGTGGATACTAGATGATTTCAAAGATATCAAGATAATGACGTTGATATGGATTGCATAACTGTGGCTCAGCAGGGCGATGGAACTCCTCACAATGCCAAGGAAATTCTTGGTTCTCGCCAACTATGTATATCAGTACCCAATGTGCAAGTCAGAGGTGGGAATTGGCAGTAAAATGTTTGCTTACAGTAATGGTTCCACAGTATCTGATCGGCTCGATATCGATAGTATCCCTCTTCTCTTCCCCATTCCACCTTCCAGTTCTTGACTTCCCAAAGGGTACTTTGTGAAACGCGGATCGCGGACTCGTACACTCTTCTGATGTGCTTGAAGCTGAGCTCCGCGTTCTTGGTTCCTGGCAATATTCGGGGATCTCTTGGCTTGCGCTGGAGGATGTCTACGATCTCGTTGTAGTAGGATTGGTATTCCATTTTGCGGTGGCTCTGTGCTGTGGCGGGGATGGCTGACTGTGATGCTGTGTAAAGGTTGAGGATGGAGGTATGGAGGCCGCTAGGGCTTCATCAACGGCGCTTCCCAAATCATATTAATATATTCATTCACTAGCCTTGTGGGATCACTGGTCCCTGGTAACTAATTGTGCCCTAGTAAATTAAGAGTCCCCGAGATTTAGTAATACCTGACTTCTAGTTTTTCTTCACTTGTTTATATACCTTTTTATAGACTTATTTCTACGCTTTTTTCTATGGTTGTCTTTATGCCCCTATACTTAGGATTATGCCATTACCTAGAAGAGGCAGAACCAAGAGAGTGAGGGATAGTGGATAAGAAATGGGGACTTTTAGAATTAACAATAGATAGGAAACAACCAAGTACCCATAGGTAGGGACTTAGGAGTATAGAAAAGTGAAGAAAGGCCGAAGGGAGACTCTAACACACATATACTTAGAAGGTGATCAGTAATAGTACTTAGGGAAAGTGAGTTATACTAGTGTTAAAGAGATGTTAGTTGTTGCCAACTCCCAGTGCTCAGTTATTTTTACATTTCACTGGGTAATTCTCTCCCGTTATAACAAATTATACTGTGGAATTATAAACTGACGTCTCAGTAAAGTATCTAATTATTAATCTATTTGAATTAGTGTTACTAAAATAGCTCAACGGTTGTTTGGTTTGGATTAAACAAAATGATTTTGTGTTCCAACTAAAAATTTGTATAATTCCATCACTTGTCTAGTATTACTCAAACACAATCTTGTAGACTTAATAGAGCAGAAGGTAAGAATTCGATCTATGGGAATTAAAAGTTTTTTGAATAGAGACTCAAAAGCACATTTTTTAATCAAACTATATTTATTCCATTTGATCTATGCCTTGACTCACTTTATCAAGACAATTAGCCCTTTTCGAAATAACAAATAGGGTTCTTGACCATTCTCCTCAAGCTCTTGGTTTTTCCTAGTCTTGAAATCCCGTGAAATTCAACAAACATCATGTGACTATCTATAACACTATCATATCACTGAACCATCTCCCCCAACTTCGCGGCCCGCCTCCCTTGAAATTCTCATCCTCTCTTTCCTTGGGGGTTCCGGTTTCCTCAACGAACACAAGTTCAGACTTCTCTTGGATTCTCATCTTCTCCTGTAGCCACTTCGCAAAATTCTCTCTATGATCCTTTCTATAAGACCAGGAGGAACTATATAGGGAAGGTACATGGTATAGGGTCCTTTTCCATGTAACCTCAACCTGAACATTTTTCATGCCTCTGATCAGCCCTAAAACACAGGTTCTCGGATTTTGGAAAAGATCAAACTTCAACTGTCCTCTTGCGCCGAGTGCAGATTCTGGTCCAAGCACAATCTCAAAACTGTTGTACGTTAGCATTTGGAAAGCACGAAAAAGAATGCGACTCACTGGCGCATCTTTTTACACTCGCCTAGCAAGGCGGCAGCATTATTTGCGCTACCTCTACCTATTTCGGACCACTGAACTCGTACGTCCTTCATACATTGTCGATTGTGTGCACCGATCATATACATAAAGATCTTCATATCCCAAAAGTTTGGAAAATAGAACGCATTTTCGCCGTAGTAAATGGCCGTTACTTCATTGTACGCTTGACGGCAAGTTCTCGCCAGAGCAAGAATATCCTCAGATGGTGGCAAGGAGACTTTACCGGCTTCGTGTTCCTTGATACGCGCGAATATTGCGTCAATCCGGGGGGTGTAGGGGTTGAAAGGGCTGAGTTTCGACGACGAGGTTCCGGATTATGATATTGCGGACTTCGGAGGAGAATTCTGGAAGGAAGGTTTGTTGAATGGTTTGAGTGGCAGAAGTAGGCAGAGGCAAGAGAGGGTTTGTTGGCTTGTAAGCCTGCGCTTTGAGGCGCTTTGATTCTCGTACCATGCTGTTTGGCAAGTTTGGTGGATCGTGTTAAGAGTCCAGTCAGTGGTGTTCACCGTTTACTTCTGATGAATGGAGGTGTGAGGGAGCAGAGACAGGCAGAGCAAACGAAAAATGCCAGGGTGGTTTCAAACTTCAACCAGTGAAGTTGAATAACATCTCAGAATAAGCCACATTGGAGAAGAAATTGGCTTCACTATTTCTTGGAAATGGTAGTGAGTATTGTTACCATTTTCTTTATGCCTTATTCACTTCCTTTTGAGCAAAATCTTGTAGGAACTTACGGCGTCTCCTAATACACCCACTCAACTCTACCTGTACAACATTCAAACAAGTTTGAGTATATTCTGTCCACATACCATGTGGTTGGCAAATTAAAATTACTTCGCCTATGTAGCCTAATTATAATGTGAAAAAGGTTAGTCCTCTTCAACCACAATTTCTTTGACAAGACTCGACTAAAGATCCAGAATGGCACTCTTGGAAATGGCAGAAGCTAGTTGGTATTCTAGCTTGAAAGGACCCATTTTATTCTGTAAATTGTTTCAAACATATAAAGCTCTATATGTAATGCTGAACTTCGCGACAAAAGCAGACAAACAATTATTCGGAGTCTCGTTAACTAATTGGGATTTATATAATAAGATGTTGTGCTGGGTCTACTTTCTCTTTTGCTCCACTTCCTGATTTGATCCACTTATAGCTCTGCTGCCTAAATGCTTCATGTCTGCCTAAACCTTACACTCTTTATATAAACACCTTAGATAGCTACCTTTTACAATGCAATCAATTCTCCATGACCTTCAGTACCCAATACCCTTTCAACCCAATAGTTATGAGCCCGGTAGCCACTTTTTGACTGCAAAATTTGACTTTTTACCTTCAATTAATTGATTCATCTTACACTTCTCTGCAA